AAACAGAAATATTCCATTTATATTTATTATTATAACATAAATTTGATTAACTTATTTTTAAAATTTTTTAACGGTTTACTCTACACTTGATCTTAGCCAAAAGACTGAGAAGCAATTTTACTGCTTTCTCTGCTTTTTATTTTCTACTATATGGTTGGCTTTTGTTCTATGTATCTCTCCCCTGCTGATAATTCATTCTTTTGGTGGTTTCTTCATAATTTTATTTAATATATTTATATCTATGCTTCTTGACATATCAACTTCTAACAGTAACTACTAATGAAAGCAGTAACTACTTACTGCTTTATAAGGTAAGGAAGTAAATACAGTTGGATAATAGTGCTGTCTCCTAAGTTATTTCCTTACTGAGTTCTGATTTCCATTAGTGTTATTATTTTTATATGTTCAGAGTTCATACATTTTTTGGTAATTATTATTTCCACAGATGTTTAATTTTAGTTTGGGGTTTCAATGAATATATTGCTTGCCTCCAGACCTGTCTTTCCAAAGCTATAACAGTGCTTTAGTCCATTTTTGTTGCTGAAATAAAAACCTGAGACTGAGTAATTTATAAAGAACAGGAGCTCATTTCCTCATAGTTCAGGAATCTGGAAAGTCCAAGGTCAAGGTGTCAGCAGGTGAGATAGCTAGTAAAGGCTTGTTGCCCATAGATAGTGCTGCCTAGATGTCCTCACATGGTGGAGGAGTGCAAGAGCAAAGACAGCCACTTCCCTCCAGCCCTTTTATAAAACACTAATCCATTATGGAAGCAGAGCCCTCATAACTTCATCACTTTCCAAAAGGCTCCACTTCCTGATACTACCACAATAGAGATTAAGTTTCAACACTTAAAATTTTGGAGACATAATACTATGGCAACCAGTTATGGTCTTCATTGTGGTGTAGTTGTTAGTTGGCTATTTTTCATCATCAACAAGTTTTTCAAGATTGGTCAACAAGTACAAAATTCCCTCTGTGTTTTTGTGTTGTCATTATTCATATTTGAGACCAGAGTGAGTTTGCCTGAATGTGTAGATTGCTTGATTTTTTTTTCTCCTTCTTGAAATAACACTTCTGCCTACTATATGAAATAAGCTGCAATTTTTTATTGTGTTTTATTTTCTTAAATGTTTGTATGACCCATTATATTAATATAGTGTTCTATGACACTTGAAAATTTAAACATATAATATGCTAAAAGATACTATTAAATGACATGGGCATTGTGGTCACCAGCAATTTCAATCTGCATGTTCTCTCAAAATATTTCTTGCCATATTTGCTGGGTGCACTGCCCTGGGGGCTTATTTTCTATGGCCTTGCATTTTGAGAAGTATGTTGTCTAGACAAGAGATCAACCTGCTTCTTAGTGAAGTCTCCTAGATGACTGGCTTTATTTTGATGAGTTTGGCTTGATTTATCCCTGTTCTGCTGATTCTGTCTATCAGACACAAGGCAGGTTCATACTTTTCACTTCTTATTTAATCTCTCTGAAGTTTCTTCCGGGTAGTAGATTTGCTCACTCCTGTCCCCAGACTCTCTTTTTCTAAGTAAGAGTTTACTATCTGTACTCTTCTAGACTCCCTCCTTTATTTCCAGAGAAATGTATGCCCTGCTGGAGAAGTGGGCATCTATCAACTCTTGGTATACTCTGGTATACCCCTCTGGTGCTGAGTCCAAATTTCACAGCAAGATGTGAGATTATAGCCCCAATTTCTCAATTGTTTCTAGAGTTTCAGGGAGAGAAGAGTAATCATACTTTTATTTCATCATTTTTTTATTTTTTTATTTTTATTAAATCATAGCTGTGTACATTAATGTAATCATAGGGTACAATGTGCTGGTTTTATATACAATTTGAAATATTTTCATCATACTGGTTAACATAGCCTTCAAAGCATTTTCTTAGTTATTGTGTTAAGACATCATTTTATTACAGCCCATTATTAGAGATCATTGATCTGAAATACATAATAAAAATGCTCTTTGGGATGATTGTTCTAGCAGCCTGTTCAGGTAGTGATTAAAGTAGGACGAGGCAATATACCAAAAACTCTTAGAATAATCTAGGCCAACACAGTCCAATAGAACTTTCTGCAATGATGAAATTAGTCTCTATATTCACTGTCCAATATAGTGGTCACTAGCCACGTATAGCTACTGAGCACTTGAAATATGGTTTTTAAAACCAAGAAGCTAACTTAATTTGATTTTAATTAATTCAAATTTAAATGTATAGAGCCACACATAGTTTATGGCCGCCATATTGGACAGTGCAGATCTAAGCAATGTAAAAGCCTGAACGTTAGACTGCCACTGAAGAAACAGAAATAGCAGAGGACATTTGAGAGTAGTAGCACAAGAAAGAAATGGCAGAGTTTGCATAATGGAAGAGAGAAAGAGGAGTTTTAAACAATTCAAAGGCAGTGTGCTTGGGAAAATGGGGAGACTGCTGGTACCATCACATATAAAAGGATATGTCTTGAAAAAAATAGGTATTTTCAACAGATTGAGTTCCCAAGTGGAAAGGAGACCTCCTAGTGGAAATAACTATAAACAATTATAATTCTTATACTGAATTGGTGTGAAGGTGGAGGACAAAATAAAAAATCTTTTTCCTTGGCATTTCTCTCTTGAGTCTGTTCTGCCTCCAAACACCCCTTTTCAGAGATTGCTTTGTCCTCCCTGACATGGAGAGACTCTGATGTGTGGCATAATAATGATGGTTCAGAGAAATTACTATTTCACCTACTGAGTGATTAATATGAAATTAGTTCCTGAAACACTCAGTGGTACAGAGAGAATCAAGAAGGAATTTGGTTTTGTTTTAGAAAGGAAAAATACAAGATAAAATACTGCTTGGCATACATGCAGTACTTTTCATCCGAGAATCTCTACATACTCAGCAAGTTTAATTAATGAGAAAACCTCTGAGAAAGAGAAGTGATAAAATAAGGAACACAGATACCAGTGTTCTATTTCTGTGATTTTTAGATCAAGCTTGGTGTTTTTCTCTTCCATTAATGCACAAGCGTAGCCCCATGCGGCAGCCGGGGAATATTCGTCTTTCTGCTGAATGATTTCTCTTGAAGGCATCTTACTTAGGAGGGGTAGTAACCACGCTGAACCCACCCCCTAACTTTATTGATGTCCTTTGCTCTATTTGCAATGGAAATCTATCCCTATCATCAGAGTGCAGCGAGCTTTCTCTGATAATCAAGTCTGCACTGTCCCTAGAAAAAATTGTTTTGTTGCAGAAAGGAGCAGGTTATCTTCTTTCTCAAAAATTACTCAAAACAAACATCCATGAATCTAGGACTGCTGTACACTGAAGGGGATAGGCAAGGCCCCTTAATGGATACCCTACTGTGTAATCTTCTTTTCATCTTAATTCAGAATTCCTTGGAGATTCAAGCTGCTTTATGCAAAAATATAAATTTTGCTAATTACTCCTGAGTAGGGTGGATGGTTTGGCCTAGTCAAAAGAGATACGCAATAATATATCTTGGCTTTTATTTTTGTCTATCAAAACTTGAGGATGATTGCTGAGTTTCAGGGTTAGAGGGGGATTTATCCTGTGCCGCCTTCTTTTTCTATTTTTTTTTTCTTTTTTACTTTTTTTCTTCTCTTCCAAATTTCTTTTCTCCTTCACTTAAAAAATAAATAAAAATAAAAATACTATCTACCAAAAAAGAAAATACCTTGAAAAATCATGGCTTCCAAAGATTTTATAAAGGGTTTGACGTTTTGTAATAAAACTAGTTGCTGTGTATGTAAACAGCTGTTTTGGGGGGGAAGCTACTGAGGGGTTTTAGTTTTAGTTTTTTAACTCATGTAGGCCTTCCATATATGTCTCTAGTCACATATAGCTCTCTCATTTCTGGCCCACAGACCTTACACAGTCTCTGGACCCAGGATTTCAGGTTTGTCCTCATTCTTTCTTGAGTGTCTTCTTTGAGCCACCTGAGCCAGCATCATCTTACCCATTCATCCTGTGTACACAATGCACCCTGTCTGCCCCATGACATAAGATTTACCCTTAGTTCTGAGACCGCCTAATGCCATCAAGATCACCATTGTCCAGTACGATGCCATCATGACCTTTCCATTTTAATACATAACTGGGAGTTGAGAAGAGCTGATCTAACACTTTCCAGATTAGATTTCTAATTCTCAAAATTCAGATGGATTTGGAATCTACCTAAGTATATTTTTCGGCTCCTATTCCCAGTAGTCTGCAGAGTAGCCCTGATTAGCAGCAGCGTTTTGTAATATCACTTAAGGCTTCAGCACGGTGGATTTCTGCCAGTAATGGCGTTTAATTCACTTATATGTGCCAATTCATCTCTGTCAGGAACCTATTAATTTCCTCACTATTTTACTCTGTCTCTAGCCCCTATATAATGAGACACAATGATCCCCATTTGTGTAACCAAAAAACTTAGAGTCTCTTATAAATTACCCATGATACCACTGCTTTTAGTGACCAGAAAGCCTCTGTATTTCTTTTTCATATTTAAATCAATTTTTTGCAAGCTCTTTTCTTTAGAAGAATACACGGAACTCAAGTGCCCTAAGTAGTGAAATCATAGAAAACTATACGATTTCAGTGGGCTCTTTAACATGCATCCCTGTCCCAAGAATGATTTCCATAATATCACACCAAAGATGTACTATTCCCACAAACACAGCACATTTGTAGGAAGGGATTATTAATGAAAATCAGCCTCTGACTTTGCTATCAGTCCAGTCATCAGTAGGCAAGATGTGTCAAAATACCTAGAGCGTTGCTATCTCTCTAAAGACCCTGTAAAAAATAAAGGTATAAAAGTAGGAGATAGGAATTAACCCCCTTATGCTGTTGGCATTTCCGCATGGTGTGATCTTGAGTAAATGAGAAAGTGACAGCTGATAGGAAGAGTTAACAGATCCAGGAGAGCATTTCATTGTGTTAGCACGCAAAACTCACATACACCTCTGGTACTTGTTCTGTTTTTCAGGATTGGAGCAAAACATCAGGAGCTAAGGGAAAAGCAGGCAAGAGGTCTTGTGGATTATGCTGCTGGTGCATTCGGATCAGTGCACGATATGGATGATGATGAAATGGACCCCAATTACGCCAGAGTGAACCACTTTCGGGAACCGTGTGTGTCAGCAAGTGTCTTCAGATCTCCATCTCCTCCTAGGGCTGGGCCATTTGGTTTCCCTCGGGATGGCCGTCCACTGTCTCCAGAGAGAGACCACTTAGAGGGTCTCTATGCCAAGGTCAACAAGCCGTACCATCCCCCAGCTCCAGTTGACAGGTAATATAACTTAGTGAAAGATGAATGTAGTTTTAATTCAGTAAGTCTCGAATCATCTCTACTGCTAAAGCAGATAAAAACATGTCCTTCAATCTGTTAGAACTGAAATGATGGGGTACCCTAGACAAGTGCTGTCCTTTGACCTACCCATAAGGTATCCGCCATCAAGAATAAAACAATTGCCAGTTATAAGGTGATGTGAATGAATAGTAGTAGTAGAGTTCATGGTGCAACAGGGAGCAATTTTTGAAGGAATATTGTGACACAGAACTAATGGTAAAACCTTTGAAGGGATATTGTCCTTTCTTTTGAGAACCCGAGAGCCCCATTGTAAAAGGCTTATTCAAGAAGACGACATGACACTTGGAGGTGAGGCGTCAAAGAAGAGAAAATGATGACTTCCAAGTAGTGTAATTGAAGTGGGATTTTAGACAGCTGTGGAGGAACAAGGGGCTTTGAAAAGCGAAATTGGGATTTTGTACTCAAGGAAAATGTGACCCTGTATTGATATTCATGGATGATCAGAGGTATAAAAGGGTGATAATCTTGGCAATAGGAGTTTGATGAAGTAGAGAAAGATAAGAGGTGACAAGGCCAAGGGTCTTTAAGTTTAGCAGCTGAGGAAAGAGATAATAGGACCATCTGTCAGTACAACTGAAGTAGGTAGGGAACAAGAGGATTCCAACCCCACCTCCTGCCAAAAGTAAAATGCCTTATCCCTTGAAAGACTGGTATAAGGACATTTTAGTCAATACACACTGTTAGGTGACCCTTGGAATTACACATGCAAGGAATGAGTTGACTGACCTGTCTATCTGACCGTAGCTTAAAGCATGAGGGGAGGAGGTGGGAGGAAGGGTGGCAGGAGCAAAGAGCTCTCATTCTATATGAAAAAAAGACTTGTTCCCCAGATTTCTCAGGGCTCTGACAACCACCCAGTCCCTATTAGTAACCAGCCTTTGTGTGATAGCGTGATATATTGCGTATGTTTACCGTTTACATTTCCCCAGCTGGGTGATATTATGCACTTTCAATTAGGTTGGGGAGAGGAAGGGAAATCATGGCATTTTTATGCAGACTGTAAAGTGTAGCTTCACAAGACTGATTACCTTTCAGAGCCTTTCCAATAACCAAGTGGAAAGGAAGGAGCAATTTTTAATCCTTACTGTCAAGCCTCCAGGTTGATAATATTAAAGAAAGATGGTCAAGTTTTTCTTTGGGACAAAATGAAAATATAAATTCTTATGACTCTGATACCACCATAATAACTAAACTGCTAATGCAAAGAATTGATTAAGAGTTGGACTCTGTCTGCCCAGCCTTCATATAGAGTTGAATTTTATCTTGAAAATAATGACAACAGGCATGAGCCTCTTCTTTCCCAGATCAGAGTCAGTCTTCTCTCTAAACCAGATGGTTCTCCATACCAGGCCTCCTCGCATGTTCCACAGCTAGAATCTCAACACAGAGGGACTATTTCTAGGAACCTCCCAGCCAGTGTTTCCCAATGCTAATTCTATGGAAATAAGTATGAGGCATTTTATTTAAAATGGTTCATAAGTCAAATAGTATATATGGGGGAGTTGGGGTTAATCCACAAGTAGCAGGTCTCCTTACTATGGTCTTCTTATGCCCAGTTCACTAGCACACATTCTGCATCTCTAAGAGGACCATACAACAACCAGCACTCATCATCCTCCTCCACATTTTTGTCATGTAAAGCTTATCTCCATCCCAGACCTTATGGTTATTCTTTAGAACACTATTTAGGGAACTATCCTAAGCTAATGTTCACCAAGTAAAATCTGACCAAGGAAGAAATTTCTTACGATAATCTTAACTCCAGACACAATAAAATGATACCAAGAAAAAAATTTATCATTTACTGCCCAGTCCAGACATATGTATGACTAATAGAGTCTTCCTTTTGGCTCTGACCCCTTTTAACTAATAAATGATTGAAAGCCGCTTTCAGTAGAGTTTAAGACTGTTGTCATATTTTTAGATAGCAGATCAAAGATTTGTCTTTCTTCAGCTCTTTAATTATACTTAACAACTGCTCTTATTCTGTAAGTCTTAAAGCAAGCATGTTTGTCTTGACTCATAGTAGGCATTTGGTAATGTTAGCTATCACCATCATCACCATCGTTATTATTACTTCCTTTATCAATAAAGTTCTGAACTTTCCTAATATACCCAGGCCCACATAAGTCTAAGAAGAGTTGCTGTGACAGTGTCCCTAACAGTGTGCATAACTGGGAACTACACCTACCACATGTACAGTCAGAGGGCACTGCCACGCATCCACCCATCTGTTCAGTCTTCACTCATGCAGTGTTTGTTTGGCACCTTGAGAACACTGAAGAGAAAATACAGAGATGACTAAGATACAGTCTGAGTCTGAAGAAAGTCATGTTCTAGTCAGTTGGGGACCAACACATGTGGAAGTAGATAATTACAGTATAATGTAAATAGAAGAGCTCTGCCTGGGCTAGTCGGGAAAGGCCTGATGATATTTGAAATGGCTCTGGAAGGATTAGTGAAAATGGACCAGATGCAGTAGGAAAATTGTTTTCCTTACAGAATAATTAAGCATGTAGATGGGCAGAGCAGCCTGAAAGAGCAGGCCTGCTGGAGGAGCTCGGAAGCACCCAGACCTGGAGCGAGGGTTAGGAATGAAAGTGATGGGAAAGGAGGTCGCAGAGCAGGTCACAGTCAGTTGTGAAGGGACGGGTCGCCTCTTCTGCTGCTGCTAACCCATCGGTAGTCGCTATTTGAAATCCATGTAAAGAAGGGAAGCTATGCCTGAGTAGGGGTGTTCTCCCTGGGCTCCAGAAGGATGAGTGGAAATGTGTGTGCAGTGGGCATTGATGGATTTGCCAAACCTATGGACAATGGGAACCTTTAATGGACCCTAATTGGGGGATGAGCTGACAGATTTGCGTTTAGGGAAAATAGCTCTTCCAGCTGGATGACAGACAAAGAGAGAGACAGACTGTGAGACAAATTGGTAGCTGACTACAGTAGTAGGAGATGACAAGGGCCTGGAATAAGAGAGGGGCACAGGAGACAGGGGAAAATAAGAAGTAGCCCAAACCTTTAGGTTAAAATGAAGGGAAAGATGTTTAGCAGATACCATAGACATGAGGCTTTCAAATGTATCAGAGAGGTCAATAGAATAAGAACTGAAGAGAGGAGTTTGGGTTTGGCCATTTAAAGGTCATCAGTTAATTTAGAGAGAACAGTTTCAGGGGAGAATAACCACAGAGTGAGAATTACAACAAGAAGAAAGTTGATTAGGAGGTGAGAACTTAGAGAGTGAGCTCAGGGTGATAAGGGGAGACAGCAGAGTTGTGGCGTGGAAAAGATCGCAACTTTGAAGTTCCTTCTGTGACAGTATCTCAGAGCTAACAAGAGAATCTAGAGACCATCCAGAATAACCTTCTCATATTATTATTGCAGAAACTGGGGCCCAGAAAAGATGAGTGCCTTGTCCGAGGTCATATAGCATGGAGTCAGGACTTTATTCTGGATCTCTCCATGTCATACAGTATTCTTTTCCTACCCCACAGTGTTATATAGATCACACTCTGATTTCCTAGTTAAGGAAATGAGTACCCATGTAGATAGAGTGGCATACATGTGGTGATCTGGGTTTAGTCTTTCAGACAGTACTATATGATGCTCAGTGAAATAATTTTCCCAAAATGCCATTTCTCATTTTCATGCATGTAATTCAACAAATATTTAGTCATTGCTAAGGGCCAAGACCTGAATTCAGTACTGGGTTCACCAGGGAGCCTAGGGAAGCTTCTCCTTAGGGAGCTGGCAGCCCAGAGGTGATAGGATGGTGTACCCTTGCAATGAGAATACCACACATTGTGCTGCCCTGAGGCACACAGAGAGAAACCACTGGCTGTTAGCCTGGAGGTGCAGAGAGCAGCAGGGGTGAAAGCTGAGCAGTAAGGAAGCGTGGTGTGTAAAGGGTCTAAATGAAGCTCACTGAAACCGAAACCTGGGATAGGGGCAAATGGAAAGGTAAAATAGAGGGTCTTAGAGCTTCCAAGGACAGATGAGAGAGCCTCAGCCAGCCTCCATCTTGATCTTGAGAGAGGCAAGGCCAGGGCAGGATCTGGGGCTGGAGCTGAGGAGGACTCTGAAGGTTCAACAGGAGACAGTCCTGGAATTTAGCAGCTTTCTGATAGATGGCATAGATCTTTACCTTCTGATCTGTAAGAGGGGATTATAATAATGGCCTCATGTGTCGTGATGGTTGAAGATGAATTTACATTTTGCATTTTTTGAATACCCATATAAAATATACCCAACTTTTCCATATATCTCAATCTCAACAGGAACATATCATGTGTGGGTGAAAACTTTTTAATAGGGGCAACTTCCATCTCATACCTCTTTGCCTCTCCAGTGTTGGCCCTAAGTCCTTCTAAGGACAAACAAACAAACCAAGAAACTTATCTTATAAAGGATTCATCTGTAAGTGATAGTGTTTATAAAACCATCTCTAGCACTGTGGCCGAGACATAGGACTGGATTCTCACAGTGCTGGTTCCTACAGACTTGGTTAAGTCCTGCCTAGAAACTGACAGTGTAGAATTTATAATGTGTTCATTTCCACTGCAGTGTCAGCATTTAAAGGGCTCCCACAGTATATTAACGTGGCAACTTTACATCTGGATGAGGACAAAATAGTCCTAAATAAAAGGACTAGGAGATTTCTGTGGCTTTTGCCATAATCGTGGTTTTGCTTTAGTCTGTAGGGTTATTCAACAATCTTTTCTAGGAGCTGCCAAAGGCATTTGATCATACTTGCTGTCAGTAAAAATGTCTGGAGCGTTACCCCATGAAAGATGTGTATTTGTTTCTCAGTGATACACACTTGCTAATGTAGATATTATAAAACATATACTAAATATAGAAATTTATAAAAGACTAAGACTTTAAAAATCACAACCTAAGTAGCAGTTTTAATACATTCTTCC